CCTCTACGTACCGTTTTCTGAAACCTATACATTGCATGTCTACTCTGTCGTGCGTGTCACCTGGACGAATTGCAAGTTGCAGTAACTGTCCTCGCTCATGGGCTGGCCGGTCCATGAACCAGACTGGCCCTCTTCCCGGGTTCCAGTAACCTGTACCGAGCACAGTGTATACGCCCCGATGGCGATTTTGTCTAATAGGTGAAACCGTCAGTACATTCAATGCGACTTCAACACCAGACGCGTTTGCTTTAGAACTTGCTGCCTTATAGGAGGTATGCAAACATGTTGATGCGAGGTTTATACTATGTCAGCCATTGGACCTTTTACTAACTACAGTTACTTTCATCTGCCCTTGTCTTACGCACGCGATGGGATCGGAAGAGAGTGCCGCCTAAAATGATTTCCTAACAATTTTTATATACGAAAATCTCATGTGAGTTGGCCGACTGCAAACAATATTTGCCTTCTTATCCTTTTTTCCATTAACCCGCAAACTGCAAGTAGTGGAGGCAGTTCTCATTTTCCTTTTCATGTCCAAGTTTTGCATTTTTCCTGGTCCCACTCCTTCTTTTACAATTTAAGGACGGCCGTGGGTCCTGGCACTGAGGTGGACTCTGCCCCTGAGGACACTGATCAGAAGACCAGTGGTTAGTTTTATTTCAGTTAGCCATCCTTCTTTCGTCCGATGCTGTGTCATATCAAGAGGTTGCCAGGGTCCTGCTGTTAGCAGCCTCTATCAATGTCTAGTGGTTATAACGGAGAAACGCGGATGACACTGGGGGGAAATTCATCCTCACGAAAAATCGGCTCATTCCTCACTATAATAAATCCGAGATGTTTGAATCTGTCATAACACGCCGAGAGTCTTGGCTTAAAAGGTTGCAAACTGACAGGCTGCCTCAATCCGCATAGCGAGTATATTGAATTGATTGGAGAACCGAAAGTCTGGCTGCGATTTTGTTAGGAGTCGGCCTAACCGAATCGCTCACATGCCGCCTTGGCGACTCGCTTTCACGCCATATTATCGATACGTCCACTCGCAGTGCATTCGATGACCCGCAACCTGCCGCCGGAAGTGGGACTCTAACCCGCCAGTCGGATGATTCAAAAAGCCAGTCGATTTGCTACCCACTCAAGGACAGTATCTGATTTGTCCGATTGCAGGCTGATCTTTTTCATGCTCTTGCATGCTTTGCTTGCCTTTACAAAATACGCTGTTAACATACGGCAATACACTGCCGTTCTTTTGCCCCTGCTGTAGAGTCCTACGGGGATTCAGAAGAGGCGTGGTTCGACGATGGACATCGTAGCTTGTGAAAAGTTATAACAAATTTCTCCTTGACTTAAACGTTATGGCATTCCCACCGTTGTGAGCTCTAGGTAGTCCTTATTACAGCCTAGTACATTCAGTAGGGAGATCGTGTCGTGTGTGGCCCGTGTAGATGAACTTTTTAGCCACTTCAACCCCTGCGGCCGCCCATGGTCGTGCTGAGTAGAGTCTGCAGTAGATGCTACACAAGTCTGCCTCATTATAAACTAATCCATATTTAGGTCACAGATGCCGCGCTCACTCCGCGATGCACGTAGGGAACTTGGTTCATTACGACGGTCGATGTCAGCAGAGCGCACCATCAGTTCTGTGAGACGCAGCCCGCTTTTTTTCCAGTAGCAGTGTGCACTTCTGCTTGGTTATCTCAATAGGCGTTCATATTTGCTAACAAGAGCTCAAAAAATTGAACCCAGCCTGTCTGTTTGTCTCGACTAAAGTTTCGTTTTGCAAGGGGCTTTCCACAACCAACTGGCTACCGTGGAGGTCATTAGATAATCTACAGACTTCGGAAAGCTTGTTCACGCCAGGCTTGTTGATAAAAAGCGTCGATTAGGGTTTTTAGGTGCTACAGTTTACCTTTATTTGATAATTCCCCTTCAGCCGTCAGCTTCAGTGTGCAAATATGTTCTCGTTTGCTGCCGAAGCTTTTTCCTAACCAAAAGTTCTTTCAGTATTTTGACGAAACACAATGGGTTTGTCTGGTTATCCGTAATTCTTCGTTCTGCTCCGAGCAAATCCCGAGTTCGTGAACCGTGAAAATTGGTTCTTTAGCGTCATCTTAAGTTCTCGTCACTTTTCTTCCGTTGAAGATGCAGATGCCGAGAAGTAGTTAGTTTTAGACCTGGACAGCACACAGCCATGCTCTGTTCTCGCTGGAGTTTCTATTTTGGTCCTCCGAGACTAGACATGTAGGCATCGGCGTATAAACGCCTTCAGATAGTCTGGTCCATGGATGAGAACTCAATCAATCAATTTTGTGTCGGCGTACAGACCCCTGCGCAGTCACCTTCAAATTTTGTGTTATTCATAATTTATTTGTTTACATCCCCTATACTTGTCGCCACTTTGGTGCCACTGTTATCTCTGACGCTGAGTTCCTGCACGATTTCGAAAGCCCAGAATAATAAGCAAAGTGTTCGGGTCCTCGACCAGTCATTGTTGGCCAGTAGAGGTTGTTCTGATGTAATTCAGTCCAGAGCCAGTTGTACTAACCGAATATGGTTCATTTCGGTACATTGTTGTACCTTCTTCCTTTGCAATATTCTGGTGTATCTTAAGTCCGAAATTCTAGTCCTCCCTCCGACGTACTCGCTCGTAGCTATAGTATCCTCAGTACCGAACACTTTTTCCCCGCCGCTTTCTGTGATCTTGACGCTCCATTAGTGAAGCTTCATCTTAGTCAGTCTTTTCGGTTCGTACAGCCTTTCAGGGTTAAATCGATCATCCTGTTTCCCACGTGTTTATCGTCACATTCGACACATCCGGCCGTGTTTTACATGTGGCTTCTGTTATTCTCTATATTTAGTGCATTGAGAATACTGTTCGAAGACTGTCTTATTATGGATAAGGAAGAAGACGTTTCGAGCACTGGGTCAATGGGTTTGTTGTCCTGAGCTTTCGAATCCTTACAGGAGTCCATCTTCAGGGACAAGAAGCAGTAACCAAAAGGAGGGTAATTATAGTGGGCATAGGCCATGCAAATGCCTGGAACGCGAACGTTTTCATTCACTGTCTTCTCAGTCTGATAACTTCCGCCATCCTTTTTCAACCATTTTTACATTACGCTTCAGCAAACCTGTTTCTTCTTACTTCTCCTTAGCTCCGCTTGGTGGTACATGGCCTTCCTCCCAGTCCGCTACCCAGTTACTCCAATCAGCCGTACGTTTCAGCCTAATTATCGTCCATTTTTTCTTCCGAGTATGTGTGTTTGTTTTGCACCCCTCTGTTTATTCTTACCTTAATAACCCTGTTGTTCCTTTGGTTTTTACTGTGACCTGAACGTATGCTCGAATTGCGCATGCAGGAAAATAATCTGGATTTGCGACGAACGCCGAAGTATCGCAAGTGGCTGTCCATACCTACAAAATGGGCCATGAGTTCGGTTTCGCAGCCGTCAAAATAGTCGTCCACGACGGAAGCACAACGACCTGAGAACTGATTGGGGCTTGGACATCGGATAGAAAATTAGTCAATTAATATATAGATCTACCCTCCGTATACAGACCCCTGCGCATGCACCTCCAGACTTACGTTATCGATTAATTAATTGAGTTACTGTTTAAGAACTGCTTACTTGCTTTATTTAGCCAGGTGTGTTTACTGCAGTCTTCTTAGCAATATGTCCTGAAAGGACTGATAGTCTTGGGATTAGGTTGAGTGTGTTTTGTTTTAGTTTGAGGTCTTAAATTTGGTTTTTGGGTTTAGAATTGGCAATTAAGGGCTACGCCCAAGGTTAGGCAGTAGGGTTAGACTTCCGGCCAAAATTTTATTGAACTTACAGTTTCCTCAGTGCAGTTACATACCCTCTCTTTGTCCAGACGGCCTTCAAAGGAAAGAAACCGCGTGTTTTACTTTTTACCCCCTTTCCATACGGGCTTGTTGAAAATTTGTCAAAAGCGTACTTGTGCTCGCCAACTGCTCTTCTGAAATTGAATCAGCCAATTTGGCAAGGGTTTCTGCTTGGCCTTGTGATGAGCGCCAAGCGATTGTAGCCGACCATTGCTGAGATTCTGTCTCCTAATCCTGTCCACTTGTGAAATTTTTTGCTTCACATTATTGCGCTTATGTTTGAGTAAGAAAATTCGCGTCTTTTTGTTGGCTACCCGAACAGTCGGTCGTTGAAAAAACGTGGTAGATCTGAACTAGTGAAGGAATGTTTTTTTACGGACTAATTGATTAGATTTCACGGTGTTACAGGTAGAATATTGCCGTACTACCTGTTAGGACGGCCTACCGAAC